GTACTGCAATTGGAGGCATGGACTAAGAACTGGGTAAAACAATATGGGAAATGCAGACAATTAACAAAATTTGAGGAATTAATAATACAGATGGAACAGAGTGATACAGACAAAGTAACAAAAGGGTTAATAGGTAAAATATATAAAATACTAATAGAATGTTATCAAACAAGGAATGAAATTTAGTAGGGAGAGTGATTTAGGTATCAATATTACGGAAGAGGAATGGTCAAAGATTTGGACACAAAGAATTATGAAAAATATGTCTGTTAGAATTAAAGAGAAGTGTAATAAGACAGTTTGGAAATGGTATATGACTCCAGTAACTTTAAGCTATTATAACAGAAATAATTTAAAAAATTGTTGGAGGTGTAAAAAAGAATTTGGGACTTATTTGCATTTATGGTGGGAATGTGAAAAGGTAAAAAAATATGGGAAATGGTATTTGCTGAGATTAATGAAATATTGTCTATTAATTTGCAAACAAGTCCAAAAATTGCATTACTGTTAAATTTTTGAAATATGAAACTAGAATTGCAAAAGAAAGAGATAATAATTTTTGTTACTGCCTTAAGATTAATAATAGTTAAAAAATGGAAAGTGGATTCTGAATATGAGCTTGAAGATTGGTTTAAAGAAGTACGGAACATTGCTATTAATGATAAATTGACATTGAACTAAAATATAAAAAGGGTCTGGTGAAAAGGAATGATTTTGATGCTCTATGGGGTGAATTTCTGGAATATGTTTTTGTTAAAGGGAAGGAAGTAAAACCAGTTCAATATATATCATCCTTTTGGAGAGGAGGTCTTATTTAAAAATTTTAATAATAAAAATCTATAAGTAAAGAGATAAGGGGGTAGGTCCCATGGGTGATGGGTGCACGTAAAGGTTGTTTATGTGTGTTGTATTTTGGTTGTTTGATTGAATTATTTTATGTTTTTGTTATTATTGGTTTTGTGTTTTGTAATTTGTATTTTAAATAAAAAATATCCTAAAAAAATAGTAATATATTGGTTGCATTTTACAAGATTGGATACATCCAAGATACTCCATCTGAGTCAATGTCTAAAAAGGATATTTGCTGCATAGCAATCTAGACTAAAGGACAAGTATCTAAAAAGCTTCCTATTGACTCTTATAGTATTATTTTGAGACCCAAACGTTTGAAATATTTTTATCGTTATTTATCAATAGGACTAATCTTGAAAAGCATTCCAACCAGTAAAAGAATGGTGGCTATATAACTTAATAGCGTAAACATACCAATAAAAAAATTCAGCAAAAATTCAGACAAGGTACCATACTATAATCTGACTGACTGGTGATAGGATACCCAAGATCAAAATCCCAAAATTAATTATTGGTGACAAAATATGAAATAATTTGGAGAATATATGAGAGGATTCCTTTTTAACCACAATACAATTATTACCACAAGATGTCACCCTAACATAAAGAATAGAGAAATAAAAATCATGGTGATAGAGCTAGAAGAATAAAATACAGCACATTCTTAAACAGTAATTTGGTTTAGAATGTTCCAGATTGTGTGTATCTTGATTACCATCAGTTTAAGCAATATATGTGGATTAATGTGATCAAATGGAAAGAAATACATAAGTAGAGAAACATCTGAGTTTTAAGAATATTGGTACAAAGGTGAGCTACTATATATACAATGAGAAACAACATTTTGACAGCCTCAAATGGGGATTGAAGCACCCATATAGGGGGTTCTATGAATACATTTTTACTCTAGGCATATGTAATGTGGGTTCTTTAGAGAAAAAAGACATTAATAGCCATTAGGCTAATATTTGGAAGTAAACAAATGTGTAAGGTGTTAAAATTAACTTATTTCTCATTGGATTGTGGGAGGGCATTATTGAATAGAACAGTAAATGAAGAATCTTTTAAAAAGACATGAAACACTTGAAGATTTGTAGCAAGTCTTTTCTAAGTATTAAATAAAAATATATTTAAAATATAAATATCAAAAAGTATACAATTCTAGGAGGAAAAACATAAGGCTATATACACTATTCTTTAAGGAAAGGTGGGACATGTATCTAATAAAAAGTTACGGAATGTGAATGGAATTTGATAGATTATGTGCAATGATCTCGGAAATGAAGGTAAGAAACAAACATATGGGTAGTGCTGTGCTACCATATTAATTTAAAACATTAACCCTTCCCCAATGAACTTAAAAGAATCTTTTAAAAGCTGGAATTTTATGCATGACTGCATCTTCCCAAAGACTGTATTAAGAATCGCAAACAATGCCACCAGGAAAATCACCTTTATCTTGGGAAAAAACGTTATGTGCATACAGAAAACAACTATCTTGGCATCTAGAACCACATGTAGGTTGGGGGTGAAGAAATGACAAAAATCACCTTGCAATACAATAATTGGGTGATTTTTTTTGTTTTTTGTTTTGTCCTGCCAGAACTGGATGGAAAGGAAATGTAGGTAAGTATGCCATAAATAGTGGCAACTAGATAATTTAAAATCTGGACTTCAAATTATTTCCATTAGTTTTTATTCTACTTGTAAAACATACAACTAAAATTCTCTTCCCCTGCCCCCCCCCCCCGATTCTTCATTCTTAATGTGACAAGGAACCAAATAAAATACTGTTGATCCTCACCTAAATTATGCAATCAACATAATAGGAATATATTAGCAATATTGTTTGCCCTGAAGATGGACCTTCGTCCCTAACTTTTACAGCATAATTTTGTTCTAGAAAGGGAAGCATGTATTTTTTTCAGAAACCAAGCTCTTGCAACCACTAGCTTAGCTCCGGCATTTCCACGCGGACCTAAGGGCTGACAATCAGATGCATTTGTCATTGGCCCCGTTCATCAGAACTTGCAATGGGGGAAGAAAAGAGGGAGCTCTAACTTTTTCTACTGCAGCTTTCAGGAAAAGGTATTAGCCGACAAGAGCTGATATCTGGTACAACTCCCTGTACTGAACAGCCGAAGAGCGAGAAACAGACCGACGCCCCTGAACTGCCCCAGCAAGGCAGAACTCTGGACTACCTACGGGGCATCGCTTAGCAACCGCTCCGCCCACTTTCAAACAACGAAGCAACTGTTGGCGACACCGCCGCCGCTTTGCGCATGCTCCGGAAGGCAAAGCAGGGGCGGGAGAAATTCCGCTTCCCCTTCCGGCTGATGGTTTCCTCGGTCTGCCGGCTGCTGTCAGTATGGGGGCAGTAATGAAAGAGCGGCTGCGCTTGTTGTGGGCAACAGGTACAATGGACGCGGATGGGGTCCCTCCTGAACAGCAGCTCGAGGCGAGGGCAGTGTCCCGGGCGGCGGGGGGGAAGGCAGCGTGGAGTTGGCCGGGGCGCAG